TTTTTTTAATTAAATTTTAAAATAGGCTTTAAATTGATATCTCTATTTTATTTTTGAGAAAATCATTGTATTATGAAAAAAGATTCTTATGAGTCTAAACAAAATTTTTTTTAAGGCGATTAATTGTATAACATTTTAAACTAAATTACTTAATTCAATCAATGTATTCTCTACAATGCATGTGCGACAAATTGTACTAGTGCCGCTTAGAAAACGAATGACTACAAAAACATCGAAAATATATTGTCTAAATGTTTTCTTTCGACAATTTCCCAGTCATTTAAAGAAACCTCTAATAATTCTTTCAATGAAAAAATCTCATTTATCTAATTTTTGATTATTGTTTCGAAAATCGCTCGTATTGGTTATCAGATTTCTAAAGCACAACTTTGTAGTTCGATTGTTGATACAGTTCATCTTTGTCTTAATACTTTGTCGGATTATCTTGTTGAATCGTGTACAATTACAAAACCAAACGAATTATTGTTTCATACATGTAGATTATCGTATTTTCTCTATGCTTGCTTATCTAATTAATAAGCTAATATTAGGATCATGTTCATAATTAATAGATTTGCTTATTCATGCACTCTTAGAATTACTATTAATTTTCTTGCTTTAATTAAGGAGTCTATTATGATCTGTCTTAAACTGAAACTAATATGTACATTTTCAGGGGCAACAGGTTTTTTGTAAAAGAAGCTTATTAATGAATAGATTGTTTTTCCTCACTTATGGAAATGTTCGTTTGATTCATCGATGTGTAGTGAATATGTTCAGTTTATTCTTAAGATAAATAGTTATTATTTGTTGTATAATTAAGCAGAACAACTAAGCCTATGTCATTGACGAAATCAATTTATTGCTATGATAATTACATCCGTTTCGATAACAACGTCACATTTTTCATTAGAATGAACGATTGTAATACTTTATGTAATTATTAATGCAAGAGATGAAAGAATTTTATAATAATAAATGATTATTTTGTGAAACACGACATAGAAAAAGTGTTGAAGTATGGGGATAGAAATTTATACTCCTCCTCACTCAGATCGTGACACATCCATGAACAATACTCAGATTTTGCCATAAACACCTTAATAATGTCCTACTACCCTCCTCGATCATGATAGACATAGGCGAAAAATTAATGTTCGCTCCAGGATTATGGTTAAAAAAGATTAAATTTAAGATAACTGTTTTTTTTTCTCTACTTTCATGCTCATTGTAACATATTACGATTAACATCGTTCATCATCGACAGATTGTATTTCATACTTTAATCCTGCACGGATTACTCTAAGTCCTTTTATTTGTTATTATTGGCATTGATTATTATTATTTGAACAGTATCAGATCATTTTGAATAACATGATGCCAAATATCGTAAAAAATTTATTAAACTATCAGAGCTGAAATAAGTATTTGATGTATGTTCCCAATAACACTGTTACGTCTTGGTTGAAATACAAATTTAATTGAGCTATTTTGCTCATCTTCTTCTGTTGTACAAAACAAACTACACAAATGAGCTTTCAATTTGTTCATAAATGACAGAAAAATTCCAAACCGAGCTTACAATTACAATCAACAATCGGTACTAATACTTGCTGTATTTGAACACCATTTTCTATTGAATGAAATCCATATTAGAAAAGTGTATAGAACTATTTTTTAGGTTTGTAAGAAATAAGTAAAGTGATCCTGTTTCGTAGAGAATTGTAATTGGAATACTTGAATGCTCGTTCTAGCCTGCCTTTTTTTTTGTTTTGACTGAAGTATTTAATTATCTTAAAGAAGAAATAATTTTGATCTTAATTTACAAGTCATGTTGTTGATGAATTACAACAGTGGAACAAATAGTGAACTGACGTTCTTTCATTCATTTATGGATTCCTTGAAGGGATTTTAATCTCTTTTATTCGGATTTGTCGAAGAAAAACATTTTCAGGTTAATTAGAATTAAGACACAAAGTTGTTATTGCTAAAAATAATTGAAAAAAAAACAACAGTAATTTCTGTGTCAGAGTAAAAGAAACATGCATGATGTACTCAATCTAATCGTGCGTTATATAAAAGGAGTAGATAACAATGTTTTTATCTTAAGCTTTCATATTCAGTATAACTCATATATGTAAAGGAACAGGTCAAAAATAATTTATTTATAGAATTTTTGTATCGTTATGGTCACTGCACTATCTCTTAAAACAGAAATTGTGCTTCATGCTAACACAAGTAATTAGATACTTATTCAATTTAGCCACATTTTTTATACTCACGGTGTGTTTTATGTATTTATTAAACTAATCAATATGAAGACTATAATTAAAGTGAACTCATGCTAAGAAGCAGTCGCGTTTCAGGTAGAAAAGTGTCCGATGTCATTTAATATCTCCTACAGAAAAAAAAACGAATTTTCTAATCAGTTCCTAAGATTTATTCTTCTCTATTTTCTCCAGGATAAATGTTATTTAAGTTCACTTTTGTCCCCGTTTAATATTCTTATTAATTTCTCGACATCATTATTTTAAATCTGCAATAATCCAGACATCAACAAACGTCTTCTATATTATATATATATAGTATAATCGTCGTCAAAGACTTTCATTTTCTTTTTAGTCTATCAGTAACATGGCATTGAACAATACTGAACATAATATCGATGTTGAACAAGTATCAAAATCAATTGTTAATGATCTTAATCTAGTGACACAAAGATTTGTCATCTATCTTCCATTGATCTTTCTTATCTTTGGTTTTATTGGATTCATTGGAAATATATTTACATATCTTCAAAGTGAACTTCGTTCTAATACTTGCTGTATTTATTCACTTTGTGGTTCAATTATTGATATTATAAATCTTTCTCTTAATTTATTTCCAAATTATCTTGGCGCAAAATATAAAATTTATATACCATGGTATATTTCACGTATTACATGTAAACTTAGTCTTTTTCTTCTTTCATTTTTGCCTCATCTATCAATTAATTTTTTGCTTATGGCTATTATTGATCGATTTGCTTGTACATGTAAACTTACATCACCAATGTACCGACTCAATCAACTTAAAATGGTACCATGGATGATCATAATTACAATCATCTCAAGTTGTCTTGCTTCGATTTATTCACCAATTCTCTATGATCTTATGTATGGATTTTGGTGTATATCTACACAACCCAAATTGAATAGTATATTGTATACTATACTTAGTGGTGTGATGCAACCAGTAATAATGTTAATATTTGTTTTACTTACTAGTCGAAATGTACGTCAAAGTCATCGACGAGTAGTAAGTATATTTATTATTTTGTGATAGAACATTTTTTAATGTATTGTAGGGTAGAGTAACAGTAAGACAACGAAAAAGTCTAAAAAATCAGTTCATTGTAATGATATTTGCTCAAGTTTTCGTAACAGGTTTCTTATCATTACAATGGATTATGGTATATACATATTTTTCATTCACTGCGGATTATACAAGAAGTTATGAACAATGGACAATTCTTTTTTTTGTTTTTTCTCTTACAAATAATTGCTATTATCTCAATAATGTTAAATCATTTTATCTTTCAATATTAACATCACATTTATTTCGTAAAACACTTATGAAAGGTTTAATTGAAATATTGCCTCGATTTATACGTCCACAATTTCAAGTAACTCAAATGCAACATTCGATGGCTACTATTACTAGAATAAGACAGCGTGATGTATTCAAATAATAGAATATTCAAAAATACAATCAAAATAATCTGAAAAACTTTCTTTATTTTGTCATTAAATATTGTTCGTTTTTTTTGTTGTTGTTGAATATGTAAATAAAACAAACATGATTTATCTGTTGTAATATTCTAAATGTGCGTATTGTAGATAAATATTGTACTTGTTGTTGTTTTTTTGCTTTTAAATAAATATTTATTTCTGTTCGTCAATGGTCAATACAAAGTTTACTCTAAATGTATTTGACGAAAATTTCAAGATGAATACTCAAATATTCATAAGATGAGATCGATATAAAGATGAAAATCAGAGCTTTATACGCAACCAAATATTTTTCAATCAAGCATTTGTTTAATATGATTTATTCAAAATCTGTTTATGTAAAATTATATTCTTCAGCTCTATAATGTAAAAATTACAATTCTCCTTAATAACTTATTCTATAAGGCATTAAACGACAACTTTTGTCATTTTATCAAAGCTTTCGCTTTTTTTTGTATCTACTCTTTATTTAAAGATTATCTGTGATGATGCAAAGAGAAAGATGTTAGTAGAATCTTCACATATTCCCTATGATAGAAAGATAGGAATTATGATGATGTATCGTATTACCCGAACGGAAATACCTAAAGCTTCTTTTTGGGAACTTAAATATTATGTATAAAATCGTATTTCTGAAAGTCGATTAAGGTTTTACAATAGCAACACAAATTCTGATTATTTTGTTTTTGAGCGATGTTGTTAGAAATTGTTGTCTGTAAAAAGCTAATTTATTTCATGAATAATCTACTCAATTATATGCTAAAATCTTAGCTGATTCCAAAGTAATACAAGATCGGAGTAGTTGCATAAATAAAATGATAATTTTATTTAACAATCATTAGCTATGGTTATTATTTATTGAATCAAGATTGTGATATACTAGATAATACTTGACAATATCTTCTCAATATGATAGAAGAAACATTTTATCCATCTTTTCACTTATAAATATTCTGAAAAGTAGACAGTTGTATCATTGTTGAACATTATAATATAAATAATCTTCGATGACTAAAATAGTAGAAGAATTCATTTCAAATAATAAAGCATTGTAGCTTCAACTATCTAAGAGTACCTTTTAAACACATTTTTCAAAGTTATTTCACGGTGTTCTAGCCAACATCAACTGATTAGAAATTCGTTCAAATGCACTGATGGTGAAAAGTTTATTGAATTGAAGGATCGTATTTTTGTTGATATATTTATGAATAAACGATCATATTCTACTTATAGAAATGAAGAAGTATAAAAACCAACTGATTTAACATATAATTGTCAACAAGCACTATCAATATCGTCGAGATATTAGATGATGATTGTCGACATTATGATTAACTAAAATCTGAGTGTACTTATTTTTGTTATGATTTATTCGATTTTATGAATTTTCATGGTAGTATATGAATTAGATATTATACCTTTTTGTGTAAGAATTTTTATATTATAATGATTTAGCTAAAACTAAAAACTATTAAAGAATTTTTTTTTCTTGATATTTAATTGTTTGTTTATTTTTTCTGTAGGATTATCATATACTAAAGATCTTGATCGATTTTATGCTTATGTTCCGTTTTTATATCGTCATCGCCATTTATCAATTCATATTTCTATTAATGAACAAAATACAACATCAGTATCAATGGAATCATTTTCTATGAAAGATGTACAGGATCTTGTCTGCTTGAACAACATATTGTGTTTTTCTTTTTGTTTTTACGGGAACATTTCATGTGTATGTTCTTCTTTCTGTTGTTTTTTTTAATTATTTTCATGCCAATAAATAAATAAATGTTTTTAAACTGGAAATAAAATTATTTTATGTCATGTATATATGTTTAGATATTTAAGACTTAAAGGATGAGAAGGAAATATGAATGTTGATGATGTACCAGATTTCGAATAAAGAACATCTCTATTTCATTTTTATTAAAACAAAGAAAGAGAATTTCGTTGTCTAAAACCGATCATTGGAGACATTTGACAGTAGATATATTCGGATTTTATGTGAAGAAAATGTAATAAAGAACGGATTTTTGTAAAATTGGTTGTAAATACCTTCGAAATTTCGAATATATCAATTCGTACTCGTCATCAGCAGTTCATATTGCGAAATTTTTAGTTTATCGGTAAGACATTTAATCTGACTCAAACATTCTAATCTTTTTAACTAACATCATAGACACCTCCATGGTCCGATAAGCCAACAGATTTAATGTTCTCGTTTCAGGATAGAAGTAAATTAAGAGGCATAAAACTTTCATAAAAAAAAAAAACTATTCTTGTTCAAGCTTTTTTCTATGCAAATTTTCAAGTCGAAATTCGAAAATCAGTTTTTCTGAGAGAATCACGACATTTATTTAACAAATACTGTAAAAATTTAGTATCTTCGTAACAATAAGCTAAGATCCCGAACTTCTTTCAACTTATTTATAGCCCATTTGGATCTGCATAATGCACCTAGTCTCAACATAAAAACCATTAAATAATTGGTGGCCTTGTCTCAGAGATTCTTTTTGATAGTTTTCTTGAACACAGGAAACAAATAAGAGAATTTATCTTTCATTTTGTCTTTTTTAAATTCTTTGCTTTTCATTCTTAGAACTGAATTGAATTTGATTTCTTCAAAATTCTTATTGCTTTGCATTCATTCATATAATGTTTATTTCCAAGATTATTTTATTTTTCCATAGATCTTCATAATTCAAGTAATATATGAATTTATTACTGTAATATCTATACAATAAAATAATTAAAAAAGACCGACAGAGAATAAAATAATTGATAAAATTTCATGTCTTTGGTTTTTAAAATTAAATCAATAAGTTTTCGATCACAAAGAAAATAAAAAAAGCAAAAAATTGTTTCATAAATATAATAAATAATATGAATATCATTCGTTGTTCATTTAATTGTTCTTTACAAGTTAGAAAATGCGCTATTTTACTTTTATTCTCTTATTATTATTATTATTATTCTTGATTAAGTTCTCTAATGTCTAATATAATTTCTGTTCATTATGTTGTTCAGTTTCTCATTTTTATCTATATTATTCCTATTTATATTACTATTGAAACTAAAATAAAAATTGTTTTTCTCAATGGTTTAAATGTAATTCGTTGTTCAGATAATGAAGTACAAGTCTATACATTACCATATTATACTTCGATATCATTCAGAGATTTAATAACATGTGGTACAAAAGACGAAATTTATTCTCAAAAATATACTGGTTTTAAATGGGGTAAACTAAAACTTATTTGTTCCTACGATAACACTCAAGTACGTGAAGAACAAGTTGTTGTAAAATCCAAGAATGGTGATATTAAAGATGTTCCTTCTGCTAAAGGTCAATTAGGTCAATCGACAGAATTGTACGAATTAGAAATCAAATCTAGTTTTATTTTTGACACCAGAATAGTATCTAGTAAACAACCAGCAAATGATGCATACTTTGATGAAAATACTGTACCAAAAGAAAGAAGAATATATATATGGTTTCCGGATCATCCTATTATTTGTCGAATAATATTTACTGGTGATGATGATAATCCGTGTCCTTCAATGGATAATCAAGATATAGATGATGTTAGTTATGCATGTTATTATAATCCAGGTACCAATAAAGAACCAACGGCAGCACTAATGGAGGCTGAATTGAAACAAATAGAAGAAGCAGATGAAAAGCCGAGTACTAACGCATATGTCTTAGAGTTAGAAATACCGGTATGTATAGAATGTCATCTTATTGATTTAAAAACTTCAATTTATAGGAAAAAATTTATTTGATTCTCTATTTTTGGAAACATGTTAAACTCTTTTGTTTTTTTTGTTAGAAAGAGCCATGTCTGAATTGCAAGTTTTGTATCCTGCATGTTTTTCCAGAACGAACCTAACGAGGAAGAAAAGCTCAAAAACCAAATACTTCCAAAAAAGGTTCTTGTAACTTTATTATCGAGTAACAGCATCTTTTATTTTCTGTTAATTTTTTTTAAATCAGAAGGAAAATAAAAAAAAAATGTTTAATGTTGTTTTTTTTATGCGTAAGGAATGCTCTTTTCAATGGTGTAATGAAAGTTAAATTTATTTTTTAGTTTTATACTAAAATATAGCTTTCTCTACAAATGACTGAGTAACTTGACCGTTTTCTAACAATAAAAAACAAATGTTTCTCTCAATTATTTTCTTTACTAGATTTCTCTGACCTGAAGTATTTCGAATAAATAACGCAAAAAAAAAAGAACTCAGCTCATACATAATTTCTAGAAATGGTGTCTGATGTTCTTGCAAACTGACATTTTTTTGGAAAAAGATTATTTAACAAAAAAATTCATTTTTCAGACTTTTTCTTGATTAAAAAGCCAGAGATGGACCTAAGAAATTTCACTAAAATTGCTATCGATAGAGTTTTTGATGCGCTACATTTCCGTGTATTTTTGTTCCAATTTGATCCATTATGTAGTTCAAAATAATTAATTGGAAAAACATTGCAAGAACTTTTTTCTAGAGATATTTGATTGGTATAAAAATCGGAAATATAGTATGCAAAAGTATGACATTTTTTCAAAGGCTTTTGTATTTCTTATTATGAGAAATGTTTAGTAGATCATTTGAAGAAATATATGTCACAAAAGTGATTGGAAATAAAATTGTAATGATAATGCTTATTTCCTGATCTCTTGTCTTATTTTTGGTGGAAACATCTGGCTAATGATCTTCTTTTATTGTACTGTGGGTCCAATGTTAGTTTATTACACGTAGTTAATACTTATCACTTGTGAAGTAGGAAAGCGTTAGAATTCTACTTCATTAATGTTACTAGATGCATAAATAGAAATCAAAAACAATCCTGAGAAGATAAACGACGAAGTTTTTTTTCTACGATACCAAATATTTAACTCAAATGTAAATAGTGATTTGAATAGTTAATGAAATTCTCTATCCAATGCATTCCATATTGAAATTTTATAGATCAAGTATGAGAGAAAGGTTTCTAACAACCAAACATGATATTGTTCAAATTCTATAGAATTAGGTTTTTGTAGAGTTTCATCTTGAAAAGCACAAAAATCCAAAATAAAATAAGATGTCACCAAATTTCTCTTTCTTCTTTCATTTTTTGTAATGCTTAAAATTTTTTGTGAGAAGATCGCAGGAAATTCGGTGACTTCTCATTTTATTTAGGATTTTTGTGCTTTTTAAGAAAGAACTCTAAAAAAAACTAATTTTGTAGAACTTGAGCAATACTGTGTTTTGTTGTTAGAAACCTTTCTCTTATACTTGATCTATGAAATTTCAATATGGAATGCATTGAATAGAGAACTTCATCAGCTATTCAAATCACGATTTGAATTTGAGTTAAATATTTGATATCGTAAAGAAAATCAAAATACTTGGATTAGATATGTTCAATCAATACTGTGTATTCATACTATTTACGTATTTTACTGAAAGTAGAATGAAGTGAAGTACAAAAGAGAAAAATTATTATCAAAGCGATCATATCGATCAGCAGTAGAAATATAGATTACTATAAAAAAAAAAACTGCCCGAATTAAATTCAAAAATCATCCCAACAGATAATAGTGAAAGTATGGGGTAAGGGTAAGATTTAATATTTACTCAGAATCATTGTTACTCTCATCCTTACTTTCGAGCTCTTTATTCAAGTATAGAGTGAATCGATTAAACTGCTTCGACTGTTAAACTGTTTGATGAAGTCAAAAACTATTGCTGAATAAAAGAAATTGTTATTCTATTGAGATATTAATTTTGTTTTTATTACATGAATTTATCTAGAATCGAATTCCAATTTTGTCTACAACATATATATCTATCTAGTCTCATTTCTCGAACTCAAAAGTTTCTATTTGATTTAACATGAGTTTTATACACAATTAATGCTAATAGAAAATATTTTGAGTTCTATAAATAGACTTAAATATCGAATGAGCAGTCTTAATTACATAATAATATTTCAGGTGAATGCTTCAATTGATTCTGCTGATGTATCTGATGATTCTGAAACGTCTGATGATGAAGCCAATAATCAAACAAATAATTCCTCAAATGAAAATAATGCTTTTCATAGTAAATCACCAAAACCAAAGGCACAACAAGATACACTATTAATTATTGGATTGATACTTGGAATACTTTTAGTTATTGGTCTGATTGGTGGTGTTAGTTATTTTATAATTCGAAAATATTACTTTAATAAATCTTCATCATCATCAACGAACATTGAAAACGATATTAAAGAGTCATATTCTCTTACACCAAATGAAAGTCAACAATCATTAGCTGTGACATCAGCATATGAAGCAAATACAGAAGTATCTACGGATGAACCACCACAAGAAGAAAACTCTTCTGTAAACTTATATCCACCTGATGGAAATACACGACAAAGAACTGATACTAGTATGATGTTTAGCGAAGATATGTAATCGTATATTATTTCCTTTCGATAATCAATCAATTAAATATTCATATATTTTCTATGATAAAAAGATAATAATTATATTGATACATCACAGTGCTTAAATAAAAATACCTAAAGTTTGTGTTTCAATAATTTTTTTAACGAAAATACTATAATCTAAACTAATAAAACAAATCAATATGCATAACTATCGGAAAATATTTCCTTACAGAAGGATTTATATTTGCTATGAACCAGTATTGAAAAAAACATATTTGATAAAGTAATTATGAAGAAATTGTTTCAAATAAAACTTAAAAAGTGTTTTCAAAAAATGATTTAATAAGAAATTTTGTTTCATTTCAAACATGATTGAAAACAATCAGAAGTTGACACATAATGTGATATAAATTTAAAATCCGTCAACAACAGTAATCCGAGTCTTTTTCGTAATGATCAGACTTATTTTTCAATGCTTTTCAACTTGTTCGCAAAAAGCAAATAAATTTTTAGATACACAGTTTTAGATTAATTCAGTGGATGACTGCGACTTCTTTTGTCTTCTCAGCTGAATTTATTATGATAGATATCATTTAGACAGACAGCAACACAACATTGAACTATTATTTCAAGTGCCGATCATGATTAATATGCCANTTGTAATACCTCAGTGATTATTTCTTTTGACTTAAATAATTGCACATCATCCATATGTTCATGCACATTCTCATGAAAAGTTGGATAGAAAAGAGTAAAACATGGAATAGAAGTTAATTCAGTTGATCCATACTGTTTTGGGATTGATCGATTTTCTGCTCCGATTCGAGTGCGAACAAAGCAGATGGACGAGTATTGAACAAGTGTAAATAGGAGTGAACAGAAGTGACCGCGTGCACGAATATCTCATATATCTATTAATTGATCGTGAGTATCCTTTTTTTATTTCATATAAATCATTATCAACCACACAAACAAATAAACATCATTAATTTATCGTCGGTTCGATTGAAAATTTTTGTACTCGATGATTGTCACGATCAGCGACATAGAGATTGCCATGTCGATCGAATGATATACCATAGGGATAGTATAATTGATTCGACTGTTCTCCTGGACTATTTCCGCCAGCAATTACACTTCCCTGTGTGTCTCCTTTTGGCCAACGAATGATTCGATGATTAACACTATCAGCCACATAGATCGTGCCCAATTGATCGACAATGATTCCTGCAGGAGATGACAATTGTGTAAGACTATTTCTTTGTCCTTGGCCACCGGCAACGACAATGCCTTGTTCTGCGCCTTCTTCCCATTTAATCACACGATGATTGTTCAAGTCAGACACGTATACTGAATGATCTAGATCGACAAATACATAGTGGGGGGTAGAGAGTTGATCGAGACGATTTCCATATCCATTGCCACCGACAACCACTGTTCCTTCAGAATCACCAATTCGATATCGTCTCACTTCGTCTTCTCCCGAGTCAACGATATAGAGATATCCATTTTCATCCATTGTCAAACTCCAACAAGAGACGATGTTTGAGATAATTGTTTTTCCACTAGTACCATTTCGAAGAGGCCATCGAACTACTCTTCTATTCCCATAATCGCAGATGATGAGACTATCTCTCTCTTTGTCGACAATCACATCTAATGGGTTGTTTAACTGATCATCTCCATCTCCATCTCCATTTCCACCGGCAATTACTTGACCACTCGTTGCACCATATTTCCATTCCACAATACGGTTATTGTACCGATCAGCGACATAAATAGTTTGATCATCATCGACATAAAAACCGTATGGGTTATTTAGTTGATTGCTTCCATTGCCTAATCCATTTCCTCCAGCCACAGTGAGACCATTTTGTATCCATTTGGCATTCGGATGAATGTCAATAGCAGGTGCTCGTAGTGGTACTTAAAATAGAGAAAAATAATTATTACAATAGGAGATAGAAGACATAGAGACGAGAGAGAACAAAGTTTTTAAAAAAAGGGTAATTTTGTTCGGAATGACGGATAAATAGGAGTGAGATATGTGGCTGAGTTCTACGAATTTGAAATACATGAACCAACTGGAATCTTTGGAATTTGAGGGTGTGAGGGTGGACAGTGATTATTAGAATTTGGAAATATTGTTTTAGTTTCTTTTCTTTTGCTTCATCGTAATAGTCTACCACCAGTCCTCCATCCGTTCGTTCATTCGTCTGATTGTCAGCACACACGTTTCTGTTTCTTGTCCTCGGGGACTATCCATTCAACAAAGTTATGAATTCTCTACAAGCTTATCTCCACTCAAATTCTTTAATGAACGAAGAGAAATGGCCAATGAAGAACGACAGAGTGGGAGATAGATAGCCAGCGTGTATGTGTCAAATGAAAAGAAACTAAAACAATATTTCCATATCCATTGCCACCGACAACCACTGTTCCTTCAGAATCACCAATTCGATATCGTCTCACTTCGTNTTCTGTCTACTCATACCCACACCCACACCCTCATATTTTCACTTTTCAATTTAACGTACATCAATTTTCTGCAATCTTTTATTGTAGCCTTTAATAAACACCATTTTATTTTCTGTGACTTTTAGTCACACTAATTTTATACTGTATCTCTCAAGTCGTAGATGAAAAAATGAAAAAGAAGTGTTCCGCATTCATCTTGTTGTCTTAAAGTACGATTTAACAAATAGTAAAGGATTCCTTCTCGAGTGTACAACAATATTGCTGCTTTAGGATCATATGTATTATCAAACTCGTCAAGGAACGTCAATGCAGGTTGGTTATTGCGATACAGGATTCGACATTCAGCGATGAACTTTGCCTTTCCGTTTGAACATAGTGAAATTTCTTGTAAAGCATTCAAAAGATAGATAAAAGAATGCTCATTTTCTCGCTATTGAAGTCTCGTTGTTCGTTGCTTATGCTCTGGAATAGAAGTAAAAGGCATTTCTGAGTCCTTCGACGATTTCTGACGAATGAATGCACGCACATGTGGGTTCAAGAAGTTAAGCACTTCGTTCGGATTTTGACATACTTTGTGGACCTATTCTCAGAAAATAAGACCATGATTTTTTGAGCTTTTCATCTGCACGCTTGAGAGATACAGTATAAAATTAGTGTGACTAAAAGTCACAGAAAATAAAATGGTGTTTATTAAAGGCTACAATAAAAGATTGCAGAAAATTGATGTACGTTAAATTGAAAAGTGAAAATATGAGGGTGTGGGTGTGGGTATGAGTAGACAGAAAAAATACGCTCATATTCATACCCACACTCACACCAGTCACCCACACCCCACACACTCACACCCACACGCACACACGCCCACCCACACCCCCACCCATACCCACACCCATACCCACACCCATACCCACACCCACACCCCACCCACACCGTCACCCACACCCACACCCACACCCACACACACCCACACCCACACACACCCACACCCCTGTGTACGTGTGGGCTTGCTCTCTTTGTGCATGGTCAGGCGACCGCCACTCCCATCACCAGGGCGACTTTTTGGTCGTGCGCGGATGTCTACTATATTTATTGATTAAACGCGAATATCCTTTTTTTTATTCAATACATATCGTTTTGAACGACACAGCAAAGACACATCATTACTTCGTTGTCTGTTCGATATTAAATTTTTGTACGCGATGATTGTAGTAATCGACGACATAGAGATTGCCATGTAGATCGAATGATAAACCCGTAGGCCAATCGAATTGATTTGACTGTTCTCCCGGACCGTTTCCACCAGCAATGACACTTCCTTGCGTGGCTCCTTTTGGCCAGCGCATGATTCGATAATTCCCATACTCAGCCACATAGACAGTACCCAATTGATCGACAACAACTCCTTGAGGACCATTCAATTGTGTAAGTTCATTTCCTCTACCTTGACCGCCGGCTACGATAATACCATTTTTTGCGCCTTCTTTCCATTTCATCACACGATGGTTTTCCTCATCAGACGTGTACACTGAATGATCTCGATCGACAAATACGTAGTAGGGGTTAGAGAGTTGATCGAGACGATTTCCTTGTCCATTCCCGCCTGCAACCACTATTCCTTCAGTGTCACCAATTCGATATCGTCTCACTTCATTTTTTTCATTGTCAACAATATAGAGAGACCCATTCTCGTCCATTGTCAAACCCATGCAGGAGATGTTCGAGGTGATTGTTTCTCCTTTAGTACCATTTTGACGGGGCCATCGAACTACTCTTGCATTCCCCCTATCGCAGATAATGAGACTATCTCTCTCTTTGTCAACAATCACATCTTGTGGCTCGTTTAACTGATGAGTTCCATTTCCTTGTCCATTTCCACCGGCAACCACTTGCCCACTCGTCGCACCATAATGCCATTCCATAATACGGTGATTCCTCTGATCAGCGACATAAGTTGTTTGATCATCATCGACATACAGACCGAATGGAAAAGAAAGTTGATTGATTTCATTGCCTGGCCTATTTTCTCCAGCCACAGTGAGACCATTCTCAGTCCATTTTGCATTCGGATGAATGTCAATAGCAGGTGCTCGTAGTGGTACTTAAAATAGAGAAAAAAAAGTGTCACAATAAGAGACAGAACAAAGTTATAAAAAAAAGTTGATTTTGTGCGGAAGAGTGGGCAAATAGGAGTAAGACATATGTGGCTGAATTCGCCGGAACCAGAATACATAGACTAACTGAAATTTCTAAATATGAGGGTGTGAGGGTGGACAATAACTATCAGAATTTAGAAATATTGTTTTATTTTATTTTATTGTTCGTCTGTTCCTTCATTCATTTCACGATCAGCACACACATTTTTATTTTCATCTATTAATTTTTTTCTTTTTGACAGACAGATTTCGTGCGATTTTGTTTCTATTCCTTGTCTTCGAGAACTATGTCTATCTACCAAAGTAATGCATTCTCTACAAGTTTCTCTCGACTGAAATTCTTTGCTGAACAAAGAGAAATTATGGATGATTGTCCATAAGGAACAGCAGAGAGAAGGATAACCAGCGTGTGTTTCTCAAAAGAAAACCCATCCTCGTTCCTCTCGAGTTCGGAAAAAATCATTTCTTCTTAGCATTTTTCCTTTTTCTTATGAGCTTCTATTCATGAAAAAAAATGAAATCGACATTTTGTGTAGTCCTTGAAAATGCACAATATTGTTCCTCAATAGAATTATAGAGTCATCATTGATGACTCATCAATGATATTTTCACCAAACAACTGCTACTGTTACTGGAACTTGATACGTACATTATTCTAGATTTCTCTTCTACTATATACATACTGTATGCTCGATAATTTTCTAGATTTCAAATTCTGACAAAAAGACTCATCGATGAATCTCTGAAAAAAACAAAGTATGCTTTTAATAGGTCGGCTTTGTTTTATTTCAATGAATGAGAAAACACGACTAATTAGTGAGTGAGTCGAGTGTACCAGTGATTGCATGCTTTACTTCATGATGCGCGTTATTTGTTGTGCGAATTCAATAGATGAAATAGCGGCGTAACCAGAAAATTTGGGGTAGTAGGCTCAGCCCCCAGTTTTTTTTCAGGAGTTCATAGAAGGATGGTTTTCGAAGCATAAAAATGTGTTTCTCTTGCCCAAGGTAGCCAAAGACACCTATTTAACATCATCCGAGACATTCTCTCGAAAATGGTTTTTTTGAAAGCAAATCAAAATTAAAATTTACTAATATAAAAACTATGCATAGGAATGTGTTCTGTTAAGTTTTGTTTTCTTTGTGAGGAATAATAAGACTGAAATCTGTTTTATACAGGCACTTGTATCGAACAAGTGCTTCAGTTTTTACAATGTTTTAACAACATGGAAAATTTTCGGATGGTTAAAGGGGATCAAGTGTTTTGTTCAAACGATTCTTGATTAAGATTTTATATGTCAAACACTCTACTGTTTAGCTTGAACTATCCAAGGGGGTAAGTGCTGGTACCCAGCACCCTGGCACCTCAGCATCTGCTCAGCACCTCGGCACCTTTTTAACATCTCAGCACATTTCCAACACCTACTCAGCACCTGCTCAGTACTTATGAGTACTGTGAAGCTTAGAAAGTTAGAACATAAATATTAATTGAGAAGTTGCTTAGAAATAGGGTAACACTAGTCAGATTCGTTTTTTTGCTACAGAAAAATACTGGTTTATGATTGACAATACCATAGCACTTTTCCAATACCATTTCAACACTCTTTGGTCCTTAAACTATATTCAGTAACTAGCAAGAGCCCGTACATTAGGGGTGGACATTTAACTTAATTTAAAATTAAGTGTTAAGTTACAAGTAGACCTAGTACACTATCACAGGGTACCCATGGGTCCCGAAGTCCTATCCCGTAGGGGTGCCCTTAGGTCCTCAATTCCTATTGTATAGAGGCATGGGTGTAACAATAGCAATACCAGTCAGTAGCAATTGGTATTGGTATCGGCTGGTATGGGTATTGGTGTAAGGACTGTTGGTCCCTCACGTCAAACATCAATATTTTGAAAAACCCACCATGGATTCGGATTCCTCGGCCTTGAGAATCTCTGATCAAGCTTTATAAAAAATCATTATTTTCGAAAAATAGCCTTGTTTTAACGAAAAAATCCAATTCGAAAATTTTGACAAACCAATTATAAATTCTGGATTCTTTTATCAGGAAATACTTTATTTTACGAAAATAACGATTTTTTATAAAGCTTGATCAGAGATTCTCGGGGCCGAAGAATCCGAATCCGTCGTCGGTTTTTCAAAATATTGATGTTTGACGTGAGAGACCAGCAGTCTTCTACACTAATACCGATACCAGCCAATACCAATTGCTATTGACTGGTATTGCTATTGTTACATCCATAGTTCTATACAATAGGAGATGAGGATCTAAGAGTACCTTTATACAATAGGACTTGGAGGCCCAATAGTACTCTCATATAATAGGAGATAAGAACCTAAGGGCATCCCATAATATAGAACTTGAGGACCTAAGAGTACCCTTATATAATAGCTCTTCAGGACCTATGGGTACCTCCATATAATAGTCATTGAAGACCTATGGGTATCCCAATATAGTATCCATTATAACCTTCCCCGTATAGCCTTATTTAACCTTTGACCTTTGACCTGGCATAGAGAAACACACAGACACTGAACAATATACATATAGATAAATAACTTTATCATAAAAAAATATCAAGGGATGAACAAGAATACTGCTATATTACTGACAACATGTCATCTTTAAATAATATGAAAAAAGTATTTCATCCTCTGGAATAAATAAGAATTCTTAAAGTAACTGAAAGATATTTAACGGAACTTCCTCTTTTTTGTATCAGAAAAACAGCAGAAAAATGAGTTTTTTCTGAGTAGGAAAATTGAATTAGAATTAGACAGTTTTGTAAAATGGGTAAATTTCTAATTGAATACTTAAAAAGTTCGCTAGTATTGAAGTACAATAATGAATCTGATAGAGAGCGCTCTTAATCAGTCATAATGTAGTGGTTTAGTTTATGTAGTATCCTAAAAAAATCAATTAGCATCTCAGCACGTCAGCACCCGCCCAGCACCTACTCAGCACCTGAGCACCTACTCTGCACCTCAGCACCTGCTCAGCACCTCAGCACCTTCCAGCACTTTTCAGTGTTTTTCGGCGCTGGGTGCCAGCACTTACTCCCTTGGAACTATCACTGACACGAAAGAATTATAGATGATTTAATTCGAAACAGGATGCTTTTCGTGCACTTCGGTCGAAAGCTTTCTCTAAATCGAAATATTATATTTTCTCGTCTATTTTTTGGAACGTTGTATCATCCAAAAATGTGTTATTCGATTCGACAGTTTCAAACCATATCGATCATCGTTTTTGTATTGAAGCGGTCAGTGAAAATGATTTTTGATTGAATAAAATTGTTTATTTCATTTTCCTATCGATGTAAATGGTAATTTACAAATGATCGAATGGTTTTTCTGAATCCGTTATTCATAATGCTCGTAGAAATCATGGAAAGCGAAATATAAAGCTCTGGTCCAACAAGAGATGCTCGTAAATGAAGCTTCGTACAATGACCACTGAAAAATCAATATCTCCTATGATGATACCCTTGAAGTAGTACTGATAGGTTCAAATATCATGCAATTTGATGAAAATTCAGCGCCTTGCATCAACTATTCGTATAAAATTTCCTCAGTGTCTTGTCACTATTGAGATGTTCGGTGAAACAAACTATACCAAGTGATCTTACCGAGGGAACTCTGAAAGAAAAAAAGAAGATCTGCAGAATCTTTTAAAGTTCTGTCGAGTACTCAAGAGCAGAACCCACTAAAAATATCGGGTGGCCTAGGATAAATGACACCCTCAGTGTTTTGTATCTAACGCTTTTTCTTTTTAATCAAAAGACTTAATTATTTTTATGAAAAGATTGCGCCGTGGAATTCTCCACAAAACCCACTTTGGTTGAATAACTTTTATCATTTTTTAAAATGAGTTGAATTTGCTCGCAATACTATGAGTGCTTCCAAAATATAACTATTTTTGACTGTTTTCTAATGTCATCTAATTCACTGTTTCTCAGCGACTTTTGTTGATCTTTCATTTCAGTTGGGACATTTACAGATTCAGTTCAAGTAGGGAAGTGTAAGTAATTCTGGAGCCTGAATGAATCAAGACTGCTTACCAGCTCAAAATGAAAGATCAACAAAAGTCACTGACTAGGGAACATTCCCAGGTGTCGGAACACTTTCCAGTCGGGACTTAGAGCATCTTGTAGATCTTAGTGAGCTGTGTCTACAGTAAAAACAGTTCGGGTTTCTGGCTTGTTTCTGAGGAGATGGAACGTTTTTAGTGAATTTTCACTATAGGACCTGGCATTTGTAACAAGGCCAGATTGTCGAATTTTGATCTGAAACTTTGGCCACATAAAGATGTCATCTAGACTAGTTTGCATAAAAAGTTTCAGAATTTTGGGCTACGCCTCTCTGAGATATGAAGCCCTCAAGGTATAAGGCGTTTTTGATAGGTAATATATATGGTATGTAATTTTTGAAGGCTTCATTTCTCAGAGAGACGTAGCCCAAAAATTCTGAAACTTTTTATGCAAACTAGTCTAGATGACATCTTTATGTGGCCAAAGTTTCAGATCAAAATTCGACAATCTAGCCTTGTTACAAATGTCAGGCCCTATAGTGAAAATTCACTAAAAACGTTCGATCTCCTCAGAAACAAGCCAGAAACCCGAACTGTTTTTACTGTAGACAGAGCTCACTAAGATCTACAAGATGCTCTAAGTCCCGACTGGAAAGCGTTCCCACACCGGGGAATGTTCCCTAGTGAGAGACAGCCAAATTAGAGGGCATTAGAAAACAGTCAAAAATAGTTATATTTTGAAAGTACTCATAGTATTGCGAGCAAATTCAACTCATTTTAAAAAATGATGAAAGTCATTCAGCCAAAGTGGAATATGCCACTTTGTAGAGGATTCCACAGTGCATCTTTTCATAAAAATAATTAAGTCTTTTGATTAAAAAGAAAAAGAGTTAGAGACAAAACACTAAGGGTGCCATTTATCCTGGGCCACCCTATAATTGTATCCTTTTTATTTAGATTAATTCCAACAACAACTGCAATAGTAAGTATTACACGTTAGGAAAGTTAGCAGCGGATTCGAGTATTTCTTGCTGACATTCACTCCTAAATCTGTGTTGGTCTTCTAAATAGTTGTATGAATGCAGAATTCGATGCTATTTCGAATGGTGATATTTTCAAGCGGAAAGTTATCGCACAAAAATTGGGTTTGCACTCAAAAAACTAGGTTTCTGATCACATCTCCCTGATATTTGTATCGAATGTCTTGCGATGATTACTGAGATGAGTTTGGTTGATAGCAGATTTCCGTTTTTCAGGAGAACATTCGTCTACTAGCTTGTGCCAAAAATTATATTGGCCCTACTAATAAGTGCTCTCTTATAGTGTGTCATAGACATCTACGAAAAAAACTTATCCCGAGATATCGGTTCAAAAGTCAGAAGTCTAATTTTCAAACGTTGATTTCAGCAACAAACGGGGAATTACTGAAAAATACTCATTGTAGGAGTTGTATCAATTAAGAGAATGTTTGCTACTCAGAACCTTATGAGATCTATCGCTTAGTATGAAATTTTGGATTTTCCAATAGGAAAATCAACAAGTTGCTAAGAAGCAGAGTACCAAGCAGCAGTTCTAGTGTTCAATAGAGAATTGAAACTGGATCTTTCCAACAATAGTCCTCCACTTTTAAAGACTTAAAAATGTTCGGCATCTTATTTATGGATTTTTTCTTGATGCTTCTATTTATTGTTAATACTAGGTATACAATTTAAAATGACAAGAGAATAGAATCCGAGCAACTAACAAATCGAAAGAAGAATCTAAGAAACAGGAAGTACGGCAACAAAACAAATTTTCATCAATACTAGCACGTGATCTGAAATATGAAGCAAGTAACTACAGTACATGTACTGTAAGGCAACAAGAAATACACTTCTATTTTATTTGCATCACACTGAGAAGAGTATACCTGTGAATGTGGACGTTGTCATTCTTGTTGTTACTGTAGATGTTGAACCTGGTGTCATGGTACTTGTTGTTACTGTAGATGTTGAACCTGGTGTCATGGTACTTGTTGTTACTGCTGTTGTTCCCATTGTCGTTTTGTCCGTTGTGTCCCTTTTTCTTGTGACAACTACTGCTAATGTGATAGCAACCGCTATTGTTATCAAAATAGCAATAATAATACCAACAATCATGCGCTTCAACATGCTTTTTATAGGAACTACACGTTTAAAATAAGTATCTCTTTCTATTAATTACTAATCTGAAGAATATACATATAATATTGTCGATGGAACAGTTTATGCTTTATAATGGTATCTACAATCACCGACGTACATGAAATAGTCAAAGAGAGAAAAGGTTTTATTTTAAGGAAGTAATTTTACTAAAACAGCAAGTCTTCATAGACATTTTTTATCTGGCTGTAATCGATATGCATAAGCTAACGTAAGAATACCTTTACATATACGCAAATATCATCTCGTATTGGTGAAGAAAATCGATCTCGTTGGAATACATAATTATATATTCTCTCGACTGAATGGAGGGTCATATGAAAAAAAATCAAGGGGGAAATCACGTACTCGGAGTACGGGAGTACTCTTGGAGTACAGGGAGTACCAGGAGTACACGGGAGTACACGGGAGTACATGGGAGTACAAAGGAATGCAAGGGAGTACAACGAACGTAATAATTTATTCCGAATATTTTTTGAAAAAGCATTGAAATACTGCTTTTTTTCTTGTTTTAATTTTTAAACGACNCATGAGACCTACATATGGGCAAAATTTCAAGACATAATTTCGTCATTTGAATTTTTTGTAAATACCTTGTCATAGGCCGAAAAATCAGTAAAATGGCCATAACCCTCGAAAGAAGCAACATGGGCCCAAATCCTCTTAGGCTTTTTCTTAGCATACTGACCCCTACATATGGGCAAAATATAAGCAAAATCGGCGTGAATCACTTGAAACGGTTCCCTCGTAAGTTAACTTTCTACATTTTGATGAAGTATTATTTTAATCAAACTTCGTCTTCACAATGCAGCAACTATATTTCTTCCATCAGTAATGCATGACTATTGAGATCAATTAATGTTAGAAAAATGAAATCTAACGGTGCCATAATGCTTTAGTGAGGAAGCGAAAATTTAATCGATGATTAGAAGTAATTGTACTATCTTATTTGTGTATTACTTTATCACATTTTTGCGGGTTATTACTTATTACTGGTAATTAGTAATAACGTCATTAGTTATCACCTATTATCACTAGTAGTAGTGATGTGTCATCTCTAATGCAGATTAACATTAGATGCAAAGTAACTGCATATAGCTGAGTAAAAATTAGCATTTGGCGAGGTTAAGACGCGTTAATGTAAAGCTTACCTGACTGCTGAGAAGTGGTTGTAGTTGTAGCTGTAGTCGTGGCTGTAATTGTGATGTTTCGTTGCTATTCATCAACATAAAATATATATGTAAACAAAGAGGATAGCATTGGTCTGGGATAGAATGGGATATAGAACTCAGTGAATCGAAGTTTTAAGGAAAGCCTAAGCAGAGTTGTAAAAGAGTGTCACGTCATCCATCGATCCGGAAAGCGAATTTTTCGTTTCAAAAACTATTTTGTCATGGAAAAGCTCACTGTGTCCTCATACTTTGCTTAGTAGAACTACAACGGGCTCTGCATTTAAGACTATTGGATATCATCCATGAAGCGAGAAGAAACCTTTTCTCCAATAACTATAATTTATTTTTTCTGCGCCTCGCTTTATTTATTTTTTCAAAGGATCGCCAGTTCTTCTTCTCCGTTCACACACCAGCATCAATTACATATGTAAGTGGTATATGAACGATGAAGAAAACATCTTTGAAAAAGATTTGAGATGCCATTGAATCTATAGATCGCTATTCGTTCTCTTTTTTGTTACCGGTGGACAGATTCGTTGATCAATCATCGACACCGGAAAACAAACAGGTAGTGAATGGCATTGAGGATGAAGAACACAGATGTGACCAGGTTCATCACATCTATTGGTTCCAGATACACACGGAACAAGTTCAGAACAAGTCACCCGCAGAAAGCCACAAATGCCACTGTCACCAGCGTTCATCATATGCAAACAACCACACGCACCATTCCTCGAACATTGATCATATTGAGACATTCCTTGGCATATTTGAGAATTGACTCGAACTAACGATATACTAAATTAGAAACAATACATGTAAAACAAAACAAGAATCAAACCTGTAACGCTAAAATAGATAACTGATAAATGATAAAAGAATAAAAAAATAAAAATCAATGGCATTTACTTGAGAAGAACGAAAAAGAAATAATAGATTACACTCCTGATCATAGCTTGTGTTGAAATGAAGCAGTATCGTAAAGGTGTTTCGTTTTTTTATATCTAACACACAGGTGGTATTTGGATCCACATTGTTTTAAAGTCGAAAAGCACACATTATAATGCTTTGATAAAAAAAAGGAAACTCAATATTTCTCTTATTACTTCTAATGTACTTATCCTATTCTACAAGAAATATAATTTTCGTGGATTCAAAGAGACGAACCAACGTGCTGTGCACGCTCGACTCAACATATTTTGTTATGGTTCTAAAGAAGAATTCTTTTTGGCGTTGTTTATTGGGTGTGGGTGAGGGAAAATAACCATTCGCACCGAAACACCCCACACTAACACTCACACCCAAATCCTTAATAAATCGTTTAAAAATCGACTCTCCAATTCTCTTTTCTGTAAAAAGTTTCCACCTCATGAAGGTTCACTTAGACAAAACATAGAGCATTGATAGTTTGATTTGTTTATAAAATGTAGTGTAACCATTTTATTGGTCGAAAAAATGTTTTCTACAAGTGTCCTTCGACGAAAAACATAGCATTCAAATGTTATAGAGCATGACAGTCATCCGCTTAACCAAGTCTTAAATGTCTTTCTGTGATGGATTTCAGTATCTGTTTTACATCAGTTCAAAATGCTTCTACTAGTTACAAATGTAAATGAACGATCTCTATATTTCAAGCAAAATATTCCTACATTTCCTCTAGTATAATTCGAAGAGAAACAGTCTACTGTTAGGTACGCCATCGAATTTATCTAAGTTTTCCATGAGCATCAAAGATTTAGATCAAGACTTAAAATGGTAACCTCGAAAAAGTATTTTCTTTTTATTCTCTAAATTCTCGAAAGTTACTTTGAATTGATATTATTATGTTATGACAGATGTTTATCTCGGTACTGATGTCAAGCCGAGCTATCAAAAACTCTTTCATTTTTCATTCTGTTGATGTCGTCATTTGGCTAAACTGATCTTGAGGTAAGTGTGTATTGAAGATTATGCGTGGTAATTGAGATTTCAATTGAAATCATGCATTTCATATGTTTAGATTACGAAATATAGTTGTACAAGATTTTCGGAGTATCATTAAGTTCATCTTTCTTTTCCTTAATATCCGTATTACATTCCATTTGGCTCTCCTTCATCAAGATCCAAACGTTGGACATTCACCGAGCTACATTGATGGTGATTATCTTGTCAATGGAATTATTGTTCATATGAAAATGATGAAAGAGCCGTCATTTTGGATCGAAACAACTTGTTGATGTAGTCAACAAATAAAAAATATAATTCGGTCATGGTAGGCAAGTATATAAGCTATTGTTATAATGATTAATCATAAACTACAAGCCGCTCATGTCTTCTTTTTCACCACTGAAACAGTTAGGATAACAAGTTGAGGTGTAAAATCATGACACAATATCTTTCAAAAATTAATATTAAGACGTATAAAAAGTTATACACCTGTGTAGTACACTTTAAGTTACTTTTATTTGGATTTAGCCTTACATTCTTTACCTCCGATTCATGATTATGTATGGCATTATACACATGTATTTTAATCAGACAAATGATCGGTCGGATTGTTTAAAATTAATAGAATTTACTAGGACTTTAGAAGTGATCTTACTACTAGGCGACAATGAATCTCTTGGTGAATAATTTCTTGACATGCTGAAACGAGGATCTCATAAAGATGATATAAATAAAAACTGATATCGACTGATAGAAATCAACAAATCGGTTTATTCCCGTTGTGTTTTAATAAAATTTTAAGTACCGTATGAAAACAGTTTCAATGAAATTAAAAAGATAAAACTAAAAAAAAAAGATTTTTTTTCATCTAATCTAAAATTTTTATTTTATAGATGTACTTCAAAGCCTTCTTTTTGATCATTGAAAAAATATATTTATTATTTCAATTCTCAAACTTTTCTTCAAATTATATACAATCTTAGAATATATTTTCCTTCTTGTCACTGCGGAATGGTAGAAAATAGTGCAGCTCTTAACCACGCATTTATCTCGACTTGAGATTATAAGATCAGCTTGAGTCTTGATTCTACACATTTCTACTCGCGACAGTCAAGATTTGCTAAATGCAATCTGTTACATTAATGTGTTCAATATTAGATATACATATATTTATAGATGATGGATTCGTTAATATAATGATTACTTGATTCAATTGGATACCACATATACGAATGTTAAATATTGATACTAAACTCTTTCTGAGCCTTAGCGATATCAATATCAATATTGTCACTCGCCTTGGCGTTTTATCTTCATTCGAAGCCTTCATTTACAGTAATAAAGAGGAAATTCTCGGTTTACAACTAACGATTGTCTTCTAGCTGTCCGTAAGATCAGTCACGATATGTGCAGTTTTCTTACCAAATACAAAAAAAACCAAACATCTTGTAGCTTTTTGTACATGTGAAACTACTTTTTTTTCTATTGTAATAATGTTATATTTGAGAAATAGGGAAGAGTCTGACTAATGAGGACGATTTCCAACCAATACATGGATATTAATTGCATTATATTGCATTTGATAATGAGTTTGGAAAGACATTTGAAGTTCAAGCAATACTAACTTCTTTTCTCTAATGTACATGTTGACTCAATAATAATATTTACGAATTTTTTTCGATACTTATCAGTATGAACGCTTTCGGCATTAGAAATACGAAGAAAACTTTTCGAGCTACATATGAAAAAATTTTTATTTTTAATAAGAAATAGAAGATAAAATCGAGTTGTTTTTCATAATATATAATGTACCTAAGTTTAAAAAAAATTGAGGCAACATAAGTAACCAAAAAGTTCATATTAATTCTGTTGAAAAATTGTGAATCTACTTCCTGATTTTAACTAGCTTAGAACAATCAGGTCCATTCACATCCACACCCTATAATTCACTTCATCAATTGTAAAGATTACGATGTACGTGCGTATAGGCGTGTTTTTTCTATCTTCTGTAAGCTTCTCTTCACATACAACCACACACTCACTCACAACATACGTGTACTCACAGCTATAGTCATATTCAAAGTCAAATCCTCATGTAAAAATTGCGTTTCACAAAACTGAAGCTATTTTCCATATAGGAAAAATGTGAGTCATTCTCGCCTATTATTCTAGCTTTTGCATCTATAAGAGAGCATGAACATTTTTCAATATAAATATCGCAAAAAGAAATCCTCGTTCAAACTTCGAATTGCCAGCAGTTTAATAAATATTGTTAATGTTATTTACTAATGCTAAATTTTGTTATTTAAATAGACTATGCGATTTCTAAACATGCATAATAGTTTTATGTTCTGAGAGTATATTGTTCGTTGTAACACAATCTTATGATATATAAATTAGCAGCATGTCACATTTGCTTTATATCTATCACTAGATTCAAACATTTCCCATCTCTTTTTTATTTCCATTTCTAATGTTTCACATTGATTGCTTATGTCATTATCATAACCATGAATAAAAATTGATATTGCTTTTGCCCACATAAGTGTCCATGAAAAATTACTCTTGCAAGCCTGAATATCCCTAAAATTATAATATTCCCTTGAAAATAGAACATCGATTTGTTTCAAACACAACAAAGCACATCTCATATAAGCTGGCGCAATCAAATTTAATTCTTGAATGAATTCATTATGTGCTCGTTTCATTTCATCATAAATTTCTTGAACCGTTCTAGTTGACGAAAGCATCATATTAAACATAATTTTTGATATTAATTTATTTTGTTCTTCTAAAATAGAATTCCAATACGAGATAGCTCCATCATAGTCACCAATATCAAATAAATATTGTCCAATATATTTAGGTTGTTCTTCGTTACATTGTAATGATTCATTAAGTACCAATATTTTTTTATTAAGTTCGGTTTGTTTATACATTAGTGTTTCAAACAATAATGAATCTATCGAAGATATATCATCTGGTATTGTTGTTTCTGACAAAGTAATTGATTGAATGCTATACTGTATTGCAGCGATCTTTATAGACGATGATGTTTCTTTCAATAGCTTAATAGATTCGATACAATCTCGATAGAGTTTAACAACTGCGTCTTTTGCACCGTATTTTTTATTCAATATAGCCGTTTTTAATATTAACCAAACTTGAAAATCTTGTCTTAGCTTTATGTCAACTGGAAAATAATAGCTCAAATTAGTGTTTAACATATTAATAAATGAATTGAATTCGTTTGGTAAGAATCGTCGTAAATCGCTGATGAAATTATTAATCATTGTATTGTGATCGCTACTATCATCAGTAGAATGATTTGTAAGTTTAAAAAAATGTTCGCATAACTCCAATGCACGTATAAATATTTTAGCTGCATCAACAAGATTGTTTATTCGAATACACTCTTTTCCATAACGAATATATTTTCGTAGAAGATTTTCAACATATTGGAAAGATTTTTGTTTAAGTTTTTCATCGACATTTTCATTGACTTTTTCATCAGT